TCCTTTGGCTCCTGCACTGACTTGGGAGACCTAAAGGATTCTGGCTCCTGGATTCGGATTGGCTTTGCTCTGTCCATTGTGGCCATTTGGGGAGTGAACCAGTGAACAGAAGAAGTCTTTTCTCTTCATCTCTGTAAATTTGCCTTTCAAATAAAAATAAATTTAAAAATTTTTAAAAATTCAGCGAAAATCCATCATAATCACATGTAGATGTTCAAGATATAGACATAATTGATTTAGGAAAGGCTTAAGTATCTCTTTTCCATTAATCAGATGGTCATAGTGTTTGAAATTGGTTGAAAAAGACTATCAAGGGACGAAGCTCTGTCGAAGCTTTCATGAACCTTCCTGATAATAGGGTCTCTAACTTCTGAGCCATTTCTGCTCATGATGAACTAGTAACAGTGTGTCTTGCTATTCGTAAAATGAAAGCATGATTTTTGAAACTCTTCAAATCCATTTCAATATGAGAATAATCATTGCAGTATGTTGACAGAAATAGTAACCTGTGATCAAGGTGATGATACATTTTTTTTAGATGAAATCATAGACCAATTTTATTCATTTTGCCAGGGTTTAAATCTGGAGTATGTTGGCAATGTCATTATAATGTAACATTACATTCAAACTGTGGCGTATTTTCCCAGCAGTTAGCCATCTGTAGACACGGAGACTTTCAGAGTCAGCTGGCTTCTTTCAACCAGGGCTGCTGTGATCTAATGTGCTATTTTACATCTTTCTGCACTCATATTCTAAAACTTGGTGGCTGTAACAAGTGTAATTTCCTTAGACATAAAGTTGAAGTTCATAGGAGTTTCTATGAAAAGCCAATTACCTTTCACAAATCACTTTTAAGTTAAGTACATTATAGTCTCAATGGTTATGCAATCAAGGATTTTTGATACGAGTTTTCATCCAAAGAATATACAATCTGGCTCCTTGCTTCTCCATTTCAGTTTCTTTCTGTTAAACTTCCAACACTCAAAAATAATTAATAGCTGCTGATTTTAATGTTAATATGTGATGAGTTCGCAATTAATTTATAAGGACAAAAACAAAAACACAACACGTATCGTAACAAGATATTTGTTAAAACAGTCATTTGCAAATACTAATGAGATGACACTACAATAATTGTGTGATAATGGAATTCGTGGGTATTAATTAAATATCTGGCATCTAAATTCTATCATTTTATAACAATTTGACTATCCTAGATCACTGAATTAATTAATGTGTTTGAGACAGAGGGAGTTTTGATAACACTACTTTCTGTGTAATTCAAGAGGAAATAGTGACCAGTTTAACATATGTGAGTAATTCTACGTAACGATTGAGATGAAGAAAGCCAGTGGGGTCAATTTATATGTGTAACTTCTGCACAACTCATCATTCCCAGTAAGAGCTACTAGAAATTTAAACTTATTGTCTATTCAAAGCAATGAATAGTAAGTAGGATAGAAGCAGTTTATTTCTCTTTTCATCCAAGTTGTGAAAATACAGAATAATTTTTGATAAATTGAGTTTAACTTCCTTTAAGTTCAGTGTAGAACTTATTTTTCTGCTAAGCAATTTTGTGCTTTTTCTTTCCTTTTGCTCACATGACAGGCTCAAGAGAGTTATTCTTATTTCCACTTCACTAATGAGGAAAATGACTCTACTAGGTTACATGATTTGTTAAAATTGCCAATTACTGAGCAGATCATCTAACTTCATGTCCAATAGTAGCATTATAATTTCTTAAAGTTTTTTGTTGTGCTTTCCAGAAGTTCTTATGGAGTTTAGCTTTAGAAAGAGTTTCATAAGAAAGCAGAAGATAATAAGTGCAGATAAAATGAAACAAGTTTTCAAAATCACAAGGCATTTTAAATCCCAATTTTTTTTCTACTAAATTTGAGTACTGTATCAATTTACTTAAAATTTACTCAATTTATAACAAAATATCATGATTATCAATGTGAAGCTATAACAAATGTATAATAAAGTAATATTTTACAATGGCAAATAAGGACTTTTTTTCTTGAATTACATATGATCAATTTGAATAATTCTTCAGTTTTAGGAAATATCAAATTAGGAACTAAAGAGTCAAGATAGAATTATAGTTTTAGTTTCCTCAGTTTAGTGAATTTGAAATGATAGCCTGAAATATGACTAGCATAGCACTCAAACTTCAAAAGTGAAGACTTCTGTTTTCTTAGCATTAATAGTAGCGGAAATCTTTTCTTGTAGTAATTTACTCTTTGATACCTTGCCTCATTAATTTGCTCAGCCATTACAGGTGGCAGAGGAAATAAGGTATAATTCAATACTCCAGCCTTTTCAAAAGTCATACTTTTCATTGTCTTATACAGCAGGAGTTGCAACACTATTCATCGTGTTTCTATTCAGGTTGAGTTTGAATTTATTGAATTATAAGACCCAGTCTATGTGGCATAGCACCTTCAAAATAAACTTTTGAAAAAATTCCAGGAGATAAACAATGAAAAATAAACCACAGACTAGAGCTTTGAGCATGCTGGTTATTCCCTCCTGGACCTAGCAGTTGCTTTTAGTTCACTTAATTGAGTAGCCTTGGGGTTCACAGTAGCAAATAAGGAAAATCTCAATGAAAAGTGCTTTTCTTCCCTAAAGGAGTTTATTAATGGATTCTTCACTTTTGAGGTAGTTTTAATGAATCTCTGGAGCCACTCTTAAGAGGAAGCTCACTCTGAATAATTTCTTAAATCCAAGAAGCATTCATTTTTAAATTTCTCCAAGCATAAACTAAAATCTAATATTTTTATTATGTGTAATCCTGTTAAGGTACAAAGTATTTTGATAGTAGGTATAGCAGTCATGATAATATTATTAATAATAAACTAGTTAGAATTTTGTCAAGATTTCTCATTTGTCAATCTATACAAAATATTTTTCTTATGTTATAATGTCAGACAACATGAGAGATCAGTTTAGAATTGTTCTCAATTTACAGAGGCAGAAACACAAGCAAGAAGGGCAGAGTAGACTCGGCAAGCTCAATGCCTGTGCATTTAACTGGTGTGCCGGAAGGCCACTTTGATTGCAAAATAAGCAGGACATTTGGGGAAGGGATTGCCCTGTCATGCCATTGCTTGTTAAATAAAAAAAAATGTCTGTCTCTAATATGCATTAGAACTAAATGGCAAAACATGAAAATCATTGCATCATATCCTTGTATATCGTATTAGTGTGAAACATTGCTTGGTATTGCCATTCTATATGCTTATCAGTGCTTTGGGAATTAACCAAGTTTTGTCATCTTGACTGGCTGTTCAAGGAGTGAAGTAATGGGATAGGCAGGGCTTTGGGAATTTTGAGCTGGTCCTCACACTGATGGGTGAACTTCAGGTATTGAAGTGCTTCACTTTCTAAATTCCAAAATGGTAAGGAGAGGAAGATAATGTACTTTCTGGCTGTACATAAGAAAAAAGCTGGATGGGAATGCAGAAAACTTTGGACGTGATGCAATCACTCCTTTGTGGGATGTGAGCATAATCAATATTCAAATTTTATTAAGATTTCCAGACCAAATTTTGTATCATTTTGGATTTATATAGCTTACGCATGTCTGCTTAATCTGTTTAGAGACATTTTTGGCACATTTATTATAATTCAATAATTTCCAGGCATAAAATTCTTAAGCTGTTGCTTTGAGAGAAGCAGATCATATTTGAGATAAGGTGAAGCGATGTTATTAGAAAGCATGCATTTGATTGCATTCTGAGTTTCTGAAGCATAGGGGCATTGGCAGCTTCAGAAGGGTACATTTCACACGTAATCGGCTTTAAATCGTTCGTGTTCTCACATTTGTTATATACATTCCTTCTGTCATTCATCCCAATAATCTTTGTTAAACAAAATACTACTGTCGCAAAAGTGCAGAACTCATACAGCTGACTCATGACTTTTCAAAAGTACTATTTACTATCTATTATTAAAGTTATTAGATATGTTTCACTTATTTCAGATTGCATCATATCATGGGATAAAATCTAACTTACCACCTAAGAAATGGATTGGGTGGAACAAGAGATTTGTTTTGTTCAGCACATTTATAGAATATGACTATTATGACAAAATGACTATATGAAGTGTTAATGTTAAGCCAGTGCACACTAGATTTTGTATTCATGTCTTCTGGAAGGGTACTTTTAAAATTTCAAATCAATAGATATCTATAAACATTTAGCTTTGGTGTTCAAAGATGATATTTTAGACATTATATTTATTATCATTCATCCACGACTATTTGCATCTATATGTCTTTTTGTTCAGCATCTGTGCCATGCTTGAATTTAAAAAATTCTGAAGCTTAATGTCTTACTCAATTGTATTAAAAATACATGAAACCTTCTAATAAATTTACAAATGTTCAATCTTTCTGAAATTTCTCAATTTTGTTTTCAAAATTAAAATCATAGATTGTTATATTTTTATAGAAAATGTAAAAGTAAGGTGCTAAGTTGTGAGGTTCACAAACTTACTAAAAAGAAGTACTTTTGATATTATTACATATTGATTTGATTTGAGAATCAGCATATTGATAATGTTAATCATAAGCATAATTAAATGACTTAAGCATGAAAAATGCAAGTGTAGTTCATTGGTAATATGAATTTATTGCCAAATTGTAACTGATTCGTATGTTTCCCTATAAAATATTACAGAATCTTTTGTAACCATACAAATGTTTTCTGAAATTTAAAATTCTGTTGGAGAGATTGTAAGAAAAGTACATGAATAACTGGTATTCAACTATCATGGGTTAGTTTTCCTTTATTCATTACAATCTCTGCCAAAATGAAAATTTTCAAACAATTTTTCACTTCACTTATTATGTCCACATTTGCATGTCTTGCCAGACTGACATTGCTTATCATGCTGTTTTAATTTATGTACTAGTGCAGTAATATTCTGGCATGTGTTGAGTTTTCCATATCAAGCTCGTGTTTTCACTTCTTGTCTTTTCTCTGTTTCAGTTTATTATGCTGACATACCTTTTCATGTTGGCCTGGCTGGGAGTGACGGCTTTCACCTCTCTGCCAGTTTACATGTACTTCAATCTGTGGACCATCTGCAAAAACACTACGTTAGTAGAAGGAGCAAATTTCTGCCTGGACCTTCGTCAGTTTGGTATGTACCCACTGAATTTCTAGCTGAAAAATATAACTGTTATTTTACCTAATAACCATTTCTAAAATATCATATATCCTTTTGGAATTAATACTACTTCTACTGTGGACATATATTCATCAGAGTATTTACTCTTAAGATACTCATTTTTAAATTTAAGTAAGAAGTTGGTCTCTCAGCGGAAGTATAGATATGTAGATATATTTGAACAGACTGTCAAATTGCTTTTCTTAGTAGTAGCGGATGTGACTGTGGCTTATCTTTCCTGGTTCCTGATTCCTTGCTGTTTTCCAAATTCATGTGATGACTGCATTTACTTTCAGTCTCCCATGACAAACTACACAGACTGCTTCATGTGAAGATGCCTTAGGAAAAATGGATGACCAAAAAAATTTGACCACTGAAGAATAATAAAATCAAAGAAGGCTAAATAAATGAGCAACTGTCCTTGGTTATGTTTAATTAGAGCTGAAACCTTGTGCAGTAATAAAAATTATTCACATGTGTGTGAGCTTGCCGTGTAAAACTCTAAGTACTTCATACATATTAAATTGTTTAATTCTTTGAAATATATAATGTGAACTGACTTCACTCCTTTTCTAGATGACAAAGCTGAGCCACAGTTAGTAAAACTGGTTTGTCTAGAGTTATAAGCTAACTGACAGAGCTATGAATCAAACTCAGGAAAGTGAGCAGACATGGAAAGAAGTCCAAAATTAGCGTGTAAAGTTAGAGTGTAAACTTAGGTAGTTTTTTGAGATTCTAGTTGTTAATTTCAAAAATATGAGTCATATAATTTATAAAAACATACTAAACTATATTTGCAAACAGGCTTTTCTTTCTTAAGCATGAATTAAAAGCACAACTATTAATCTCTAGGAATATTAAATGTGTTTTTCTCATTTTTTCTAATGAGTTGTTCTTGTACTTTAAAAAAGTAGGGAACACTTTACTGAAGGGTGTCCAAAGGCCCTGTAGCTCTATGGGTGTGTTATAGTTCCTCTGTAGTCAACTGTGTGTTCCAATACAGTGGTCCACCTGGCATCTTAATAGATGGAGTTCTAAGGCCTCCTGTAGTACCACCCACTGGAAAAGCAGGATGATATGTTTCATGGATGATGTTCTTAGCAAGAAAGGAATATACACATTTCTTCTCTTGGGGAAGTTTTAATTCTTACAATTAAGTTCTTTGTAAACACAGGGAAAGGAAGCCCCAGCAATGGCTGTTGATAGGAGTCACCTCTGAGCAGCTGCTTTAAAACCTTTGCCTCTCAGTGATCACTTTGGTTGTGAAGTAAATTTCACCGACTGTCATGCTTTCTGTGGCAGCTAAGGTGGTAGTGCATACAATTTAGTAATTCCAGGAAAGTACTTCTTAAATGTTAAACTTAATTTCCAAAGGAAAGGTAATATTTTCCACATTTATTAAAGTAAAATGTCTGTTACTTTTCAGTCTACTCAAATTCTCATAGAACCAAAACTAACCTAATTTTACTTCAAATATTGAGCTTTGTATTGCTCAGGGTATATGATCCTCTATAATATTAAGCATAGGATATGTCTTACAGTGATAGAATTTTATAAATAGACTTCATTAATTACCAAATCAGACTTTTGATCTAAAAATAATGGGATTCTAAGAGGTAAAGTAATTTTCCAGTGGGATGACTATCTATTAGGCCATGCTACTATTAAAAGCTGAGTGTTCTGAATCTTGGTGCAATCATTTTTCACATAAAATCTTTCAGGAGAAGGGTTTTTTAAAACCATAATCTTAAGTAAAATAGTATTATATTTAGTAGGCACATTTGAACACATCTGCTATCCTATGTCCTAAGAATGTTTAACTTTAGCTGTCCAAGAGGAGTTAAAGTTGAAGGTGGAATCAAGGTTGTTAGTATACTGACCTTAAAATAAGAAGATTATCCTGGATCAGCCAAATGCATCAGTTACAAAAGGTCTTTAAAAGTAGTAGAATCAGAGGCCTTTGGGAAGCTGGGTGTGGCTTCTCCCCGTGTCTTTCCCCCTCCCCAAGAGGCAGGATGGAAAAGAATTGAGAATGTGGAAACAGTGGTCTCACCCACTTTCCTGTAGTCTTTGACCCTTTGCGCCTTAATCATCTATGTAAAAATTACCAAAAAAAATTTTTTTTAAATTGTAGAAAAGTCAGAGGGAAAGTAGCCAGTCAAAAAAAAAAAAAAAAAAAGGGACAGGAAGATGCACTGTTGCTGGCTTAAAGTATTAAACATGAATGTAAAGTTTAAACCGCTTACTGTTTACAACACAGCTTTCAAAGTTTCTGGAAGGATAAGTTTTCTCATGTAGCTATATAAAGTTTTTATCCATTGTTAAATGTTTTTGTAGAGCTCATACTATAAAATCAGTTGCTCTTCAGCTACTTATCTGCCCTTCATGGAATGTCACTAAGACTCTTCTGAGTATGTGCAAAACCACGTAACTATTGTATGGTATCAGAAAAGAATCAGTCTTCAAAAAGCCTTCTGTGATTGACACAGAATTCACTAATATTCATCCAAAACTGGGGCTGAATAAGTGAGTAATGGATGAAGAAACTGTGGTATACTGTGGAATAATATTCAGTCATTAAAAAGAAGGGATTCTACCATTTGCAATAAAATGATCCCAACTAGAGCCCCTTCTGCTCAGTGAAATACGTCAGTCCCCAAAAGGCAAAAATTCTGTGTTTTATCTGATATAAGGCAATATTCATGCAAAATATAAGATCAACAGATATATTGGTAAATAGGCATACACATATATTCACCTAGAGGAACTGTATAATGAGGACTAGCATACTGAGAAGTGAAGATACATTGCAGTATGAATCTGTTAAATATACCCTAACAATTGGACACTAGATTTTCCACCATTGCCAATACCTATAATGCCATGATACACTTAAAATGGCAGAATATTGGACTTGTGACTGTTGCTAAAGGACTTTGTAATAAGGTGGTGGGTGATGGAGCAGAGGGAGATTGGGGAAGGATGAAGGGTAGGTGAAAGGGAGGAATCCCCATACGTATAAAACCTAATCTTGGAAAATAATAATTAAAAAAAAATGTTCTTTAAATGTCTTCCTTTATGTTGTGAAGTTGTCTCATTAGCATATAAATGGCATATTTTATCTTAGAAGAAATTAAAGCCCTTAAGCTACATAATGGCAACTCTTACTGTACAATGACTATTAAGCCTGTTTCGTAGAGGTATGAATCTCAATATCCATTCAGATGCACTTAGTGAACAGATGATTTCATATAAATCCAGAGAAAAGCACAAGAATCAGCTGATAAGTATGAAGAACTCAAAGGTAGCTTATCATATTAGGATTTTCTGTATTTTTAAATGTTCCATAAAATTACTTGCATTTTTAATGTTTTATTGTAACATCTTGAGCTTGCATAGAACATAGACACACAGAGCATTTATAGGAAATTTTTCATTTTTTTCTGTGTGGCACTGTTAATTACTGTATTCATGTCTGCCATATAATTCAAGGATGTATTGGTAAAGCAGTTACTGCTTTCTTGTCTAGGCTAGTCCTTTGTGTCTGAGTCACTGTTACGTGACAAGTCAAAGGGAAGTTAAAATTATACGTTGAATTAAGATTTCTAGGCAATTGATCAAATCGAATTGTGAGCTCAGAAAATGAGTAAGTGAACAGATTTCAGGTAAAAGGTATAGGCTGACTGCAGGTTTTGGAGTGTTTAATAATATTTAAATAAGTAGCATTGGATAATGCCAGCAAGGAAGACAGATGGCTGAGGTCTCTTGCTTCTGACTTGAAATGAAGCAATTAGACAAGGAACTTAGAAGCAGGAGCCAGAAAGATTAGCAATTTGGGAACAGAAGCACTGAGAAAATGAGTACATGGAGGAAGATGAGTGAGACGCGCTCCCCAATACTGCTGAGCACATGAGAGGGACCGTACCTGATGCACTTTAAAGCCAAGGAGGTGCAAATATGTGCTTACTTATTAAAGCAAGCTTAAAAAGCTGAACATGCCGAAGCTTAGATATCAGAGTGCCCACAACATTTAACCTTTCTGTTCATGTGCATGTTTGGCACTATGGTAATTCTCAAAACAAAATTTAGCAGCTATTATAGAATGGATTTGAGCAGTCTTCTCTAAAAATGAAATCTAGAACTATAACCGTGAATCACCAGTCTTCTTGTTTGAAAGAATGCATTGCTCCTGGTTTATATAATAGCTCTGGGCTAGTTTTAGACTTTCTGATAATTCTGTTGGTTCTGATATACTTGCGCCTTGAAGCGGTTGGAGAAAGGATTAATATGAGTTCGATCACAACATTAAATTCCTTTCCACTTACAGTATTTTTTTCAATATTAGCTGAAGAGAAAGTGCCCCTTTGGGCAGTGTGTTTTAATAGACTAACAGAAGCATTGTACTAGCCGAACAAATTAACATCTTATCTTCAGCCCGCCGGGGCATAGTTATCAAAATAATTGTGATGACTACACCATCGCTTTAATGAATCAAATCACTGAATTATCTACAATTGAATGTGAAAATTTGAGTGACTAGATTCAGTTGATGTCAGATGTTTTAAAAATATTACGTAATGCTTAAGGGCCAAAGTATTGCGCACCTTTGGAATTCATGATTCTACGTACAATTATATAGAATGAAAGTGATGGATTTTTTTTTTCCATTAAAACACAACATGAAATATGTCTGGCTTGGATTTGATTGTCAAAATGTTTCTCTTTTTCTGTGTTCATGAAAATATTTATAATGCAAAACCAATTTTCTACATAATGTAGGGATTGTGACAATTGGAGAAGAAAAGAAAATTTGCACTGTCTCTGAGAATTTCTTGAGGATGTGTGAATCTAATGAGGTGAGTGTTTCCACAGCTTTTAATTTTATCAGACATTTTAGTAACTTACTTTTTTTACTTGCTTTATAGAACATAAGAATCTAGATTGAAGTTCCTCTATTTTTTTTCAGACTTATTTTTAAAGAGAGTGATACTTTTCAGAGGATGTAGAGAATAAATGCAAATGAAATGGAAAATTATGACATTATATTTCAATAAAAAGATAAAACTATTTGAAATTTTCAAGAAAATAATTTTAATTGACTGAAAAATTCAATTATATTAAACTTAAGTTTCAATTATATGAAAGAGATAGCTTATTGCTGTAATGTTACAATAGGTCATCATCAATCACAATGTCCTCATGATAATGGAATTGTATTCAGATTTTGAATTTGAAAGGACTTAAATAATTTGCAGTTGGAAAGACACTGTAATGAATCTTTTCTATGAAGCAAGTGATCCCAGGCTCTTTTTTGTTGAACATGGAACACCTTGTTTGTGAGACTGTCACTCCTAACCTTTCTCCTCCTTGAGGTTCTGACACACGTTTTGCTTCTCTTTGGTTTTCATTACAGCTGAACATGACTTTCCACTTGTTTATTGTGGCACTTGCTGGAGCTGGGGCAGCAGTCATCGCTATGGTAAGACTCCTTCAATTTACATTGCAAAACAGTTGACTTGAGGTAATAACAGCTTTTAATGTCTTATCAGCCACAAGTAAAGAAAGGGAGGAATAATTAGAAAGTAAAAAAATTAAAAATAAGATGTAACCAATGAAATACTAAGAAATATTGTCATTAGCAAAGAAATAATATTTTGTAGTTGATTAAAATACTCAACAATAAGTGACAAAGTTAATTAATTAGAATTTTACATATAAGATTATCATTTGCATGAAATTACTTCTTAGCATATGTCGCGCCCACGTGTCTTACCGCCCAGCAGTAAGAGGCAGACGCGAGTGAAGCCTTCTGCGGTAAAGTTTATTGCGCGCACAAAGATGAGGAAGAGGAAAGGGGGGGACCCCGGCAGTCTTTCTGCTCTTATGTGCTGACTGGCCCCGCCTCCGCCGATGATAGGTCGGCGTCATGATCACGCAGGGTCCTGGGCGACTGGATTCGTCAGTCCCCAGTGTTCACGTGCCGGCCACGCCGCAGCTCACTGCGCATGCGCTAGGCTACGTGACACGCACGAAGGTGTGGCTTCTCCGGCCGGCGCCATTTTAGGCACAGCATGTGGCCAGTGCATACAGATGCGGCTTGCAACATCTCTCCCCTTCTTACACAATAGAAAAAATAAGCTGGTATGGGCCTGTCTTAGGTTGTAGACTCAAGGCGCACGATCTGTCATAGGGAGGCTGCGTAGCTTGACGTAGTCCCTGTCTTAGACTGATAATTGTCTGGGTCTATCTTACCCGTCATGGGCTACAACCGCGGTGGTTGTAAAGAGCAATGTCTCGACAAGGCAGTTATAAGAGTGACTACCCTCTCGCGTGCAATGGATAAGTCCTGCGAGGTGCAAGGGCTAGTCAGGTGCATCATGCTCGAACTCAGTGCAATGCCATAATGGCCTGAGGTGCAGGAGCCATGATGTCCATGCTCTTAACTAAACCCGTTGAAGCATGCTCAACCATACCATGGGGGAGTCACCATACTGCATGGCTAGTAGGGCTTGATGTATTACCACACGATCTCGCTGAGCGCGGTGTCTCAGATGACACAGGCAAAAAAGGCATAAGGCACAGCCTGCACACAAGAGCAGAATCAGCACAACCACTCCCACCCATTCCTTAGTATGGGAAGTGATGTTCCAAATCCAAGTGGCCAGGGTTTCAGCAACAACAGGATCCACCCGTGTAAAATTAATCTGGACAATGGCAATTCACAACTCAGACTGTGGAATATCAAATTCTCTCGTCCAATTTCCTAAAAGATAAGAAGAAAGCTGGCAAGAAAGATTAGCAGCCGTTGAAACATTTTGAAAAGGAATAGAAGTAATACATAAACCTTGACACTAAAATTCTCAGGAAATGCTTGAAAACAAAGCGCGTCCTGTAGGGGGAATAAAAAATTACTCACATTCTCCTTAATATCATCATAAGGGAGAAAAGGCAAATCCAAAGAAGAAAAAATCAAGGAAACACTCGGGCTGAGTGGGCGGCCGGTAAGGGTCGTGGAAAAGCACTCAAAACTCCTCATCGTGGCTCAGCAATCACGATCCTCACAAGCACCATACAGACCATTAGTTGCACCATCAGCCGTGTTTGCACTGGGCGGGGCACCATTGTCCTGTGGGATTGTAGGAGGAGTTTCTGATTGCGGGGTTGCATGAATCTTCCCCAAGTCAGATCCTGGTGTAAGCGCTCCAGCGGTTGCAGAAACGTCAGAAGGCGGTGATGGACAGGAACGAGTCAATCGAGCTGGAACCCAAACCGGAACTGGGGCGTCCTGTGGAAACACACAAATGGCTCCTCGAGCCTGCCTAATAACTGGGTCTGGGCCCTTCCATTTGGACTCCAGAACATCCTTCCACTTGACCCAAGATTGCTCTTGCGCCGTGTTAAGGGAATGACGATCTGCAGCACTAAGGCCTTGCTCATCCAGCTGTAAAAAATTGATGGTGAAGAGAGCCAGGGCTAGAGTGGCCCGAGGGCTCTGACTGGCGAGGCCAAGTGATTCCCAGGTGGTTTTTTGTTTTTGTAACAATTCCTTAATAGAGCGATGAGCACGTTCGATTATCCCCTGACCTTGTGGATTATAAGGGATGCCAGTCACTAATTTGACGCCCATCTTCATGCAAAAATCACGAAATTTGGCTGAAGTATAGGCGGGACCATTATCAGTCTTAATACATTCAGGTTTACCCCATGCGGCCCATGCTTCTAAGCAATGCTGGATTACATGGATGGCCTTCTCCCCAGTTAGAACTGATGCAAAGAGCACACCAGAAAAGGAGTCCATGGATACATGAACAAATTGGTTCCTCCCAAAGGATGGGACGTGTGTCACATCCATCTGCCACAATTGATTAGGTCTCAATCCCCTAGGATTGACCCCCTCATGTGAAGCAGGTCTAAATTCGCAGCAGGCAGGGCAATCAAGAACTATCTGGCGCGCTTCCTTTCTAGTGATCCCAAATCGGAGTCTGAGGGTCTGGGCTGAAACATGAAATTGTGAATGAAACTGGCGGGCTCTCTCCCCTGAGGATGGTGGAGACACCATCATAATCATGATTTGGGTTCTGGTGGCGGCATCGGCAAGAGCATTCCCTCGAGCTAATGGCCCTGGTAAACCTGAATGAGCTCGGATATGGGTTATATAAAAGGGGTGGCTTCTATGCCAGATGGCCTGTTGAATTTGTTTAAAAAGATCCGCCACCGGGCCGGACCCTGAAATAGAGCCAGCGGCCTCCAAAACATTCACTGCATTAACAACATATTGAGAATCAGAAACAATATTTAAAGGTTCTAGAAAGGTTTGTAAGGCAAAAAGCACCATATGGCATTCTACCCTCTGAGGAGAAACCGTTGCAAAGGTCTTTTTTATTACAGTATCTCCGGCAACTAAGGCTCCGGCTCCTGTCGAGGAACCGTCAGTAAAAATTGTAAGAGCACCAGGGAGAGGACAGGCACTGGTTCTTATCGGAAAAACCACAGGATGTCGCTGTAAAAATTGTAGTAATGGATGCCTTGGAAAATGATTATCAAAAGTTCCCTGATAGACAAACATTAAGATGGACCACTCATTGCTACACCCACTCAGCACTTGTAATTGCTGGACAGTATAGGGGACTATTATGCGGTCTGGATGACGCCCAAAATGAATTAAGGCTAATTTTAATCCTTTAAACACTATTGATGCGACTGCAGATGGATACCACTGAATAGACTTAATCTGAGAAACCTGAGAATGAATCCAAAGTAACGGGCCCTGTTGCCATAATACAGCAGTGGGGAAAACTTCTGTAGGCAATACACATAGCTCAAAAGGCTGATTTTGATCTAGGCGTACTAATTGAGCCTTTTCAATAGCTTCCTGGACTTTTATTATGACCTGTTGTGCCTCAGGGGTGAGGGTTCGCCTGGAAGCGAGATCAGAATCGCCTTCAAGCAGAGCAAACAAAGGCCGTAACTCTTGAGAAGAGATCTTAAGGAAGGGTCGCAACCAATTAATATCCCCCACTAATTTCTGAAAATCATTCAAAGTTCGCAAATGAGAAATCTTGAGGCTTATCTTTTGAGGCTTAATATATGTTTCTGTAATTAAAGACCCTAAGAAGGCTTTCACCTGCTGTATTTGAACCTTCTCGGATGAAATCATAAGGCCATAATCCTGTAGAGCCCGCTTCAGATCAACGTAAATCTGTAACAACTGATCTTGCTCTTGAGCACAAATTAAAATATCGTCCATATAATGGACGACGCGGGCCGCTGGAAAACGATCTCGCAGTGGTTGTAACACTTGGGCAACATAAAGTTGACACATGGTAGGACTGTTAGCCATCCCCTGGGGCAAAACCTTCCATTGATATCGTTTATCCGGCTCTTCATGATTAATGGAGGGAATAGTAAAAGCAAACCTCTCCCTATCCTTCAATGCTAATGGTATAGAAAAAAAGCAATCCTTCAAATCAATCACTAATAACGGCCATTGCTTAGGGAGGGATGACAAAACTGGAAGGCCACGTTGAACGGGGCCAAAGTACTGCATCTGTGCATTTACAGCTCTTAAATCATGTAGGAGGCGCCACTTTCCTGATTTCTTTCTGATAACAAAGATAGGAGTATTCCAAGGAGAAACAGAGGGCTCCAGATGTCCCAAATGTAGCTGTTCCTGAACTAATTGTTGAGCAGCTTGGCATTTTTCAAGAGAAAGCGGCCATTGGGGAACCCAAACCGGCTCCGCTGTTTTCCAGGGTATGGGCAGCTGCACGCCAATGGCCGCTACTAAAAACCCAGACCTTTACGGCCTGGATTTCCCCGGGGTTCAATTGGCTGGACAATACCTTGACTCTGTTTACCTAAACCTTTTCCTTGAATATAGCCCATTTTATCCATCAACTTTTGAGAGACTTCAGAATAACCAGAGGCATTGGAGACTAGTCGTATCCCCATCTGTTGAAGAATATCTCTTCCCCAAAGGTAAACCGGTAGGTTCAGGACATATGGTGTGACTGTCCCGCAATTGCCTTCCTTATCCTTCCATTGTAGGGCTCTGGCACTTTGGGATGGAGCTTGTTCAAACCCCAGACCGCGTAGGCTATGAGAAGTTTGAATCAAAGGCCAATCACGCGGCCAATACTTGGAGGTTATGATGCTCTTATCAGCTCCTGTGTCTAAAAGTCCCATAAACGGTCTATTCTCTATTTGCAACTCAAGTATGGGTCTATCGACCATATCCATCATTAAATTTATATAAGGAACCTCTACTCGGGTCTGGACAGTCTTATCTGCACTAATTAAAGCTGGTAAAAATATGAGTTGGGCTATAGGATCACCTGGCGCAACAGCAAAAGCACCTCGTGCAACTGAGCACAGCACTGAAAAGGAGCTAGCTTCCGGATGTAAAATTCCAGGTGTTACAATAAAACCTTGAGAGCTCAAGGCTGCTCGGCCTATCACAAGCCCGACCGCACCAGGTGGTACCGTGTCTGTTAAGATGACCGGTACCGGCGTAATGCCGTCCTCTGGTTTTAAGAGGACTCCGGTGGTGGCACAGAGGTCCAGGCTTGCAGGGTGTCGCTCCTGGCAGGGTCCCCTCGTGCATGACGGAAGAGTGCCCGGTCGGTCAAGGGGACCTGGGCCTTCGGTCCCCATCTCCCATTTTTTGACTCCTGGCTCGAGAGAGGGCGTCCTTCTATGTCCTTCACTGACTTGCACTCATTGGCCCAATGTCTACCTTTGCGGCACCGTGGGCACATCCCAGGAGGCTTATTGCTAGGCCCTGCACGGCATTCCCTTTTCATATGTCCTGGTTTTCCACACTGAAAGCACACAGGTGATATTCTCTCCCTATGATTAGACCTCAAAATGGCGGCCGCTAGTCCATGAGCTGTTAAGGGGCCTCCTGTATCCCTACAAACCTTTAGCCAATCTGAAATTCCCTTGGACTTACGATCCTTGAGTAGGGCTCTACATTCTGCATTACACTGCTCCCAAACTATCTGCTCTACCATTCTAGTGTTCTGATCTCCCTCTCCAAAGGTCCTTTCCACGGCCTGCATTACGCGTGCCACAAAATCAGCAAAGGGCTCATCCGGCTCCTGCTTAACCTGTGTAATGCCCAGTTTCTCTTGCCCTTTAAGTGAAAGGGCCTTCCAAGCCTTTATAGCTGCAGTAGAAATTTGAGTATAAACTGGCCATGGATATCTCTTTTGATTATCAGATTATTGGCCTTGTCCGGAAAGCATATTATAAGTCCAGGTCAAAGCATCACCGCCGCGCTGTTGGTTTGCCCGGGCGGTCTCAGCCAAAAGCTCTTGCCATAGGCTCTTCCAATTTAGATATGATCCGATATTAGGGAGAACAGCCTTGACCACAAATTGCCAATCAGAAGGAGTCATATTCATTCCCCCCATACGTTCTAACAGGGACAAAGTGTAATTGGCATGAAGACCATATTGCTTTACAGACATGGCCAATTCTCGCACTAATGCTGCATCTACCTGTCTGTAAACTCTTTCCCTTTCTTCTTCTAAGACGGGGAACATATTTTGAAGTTCCCGGCGTGTGGCTGGATCGATGAAGGAGGAGCCTGCGCCACAACTCATGGGTGGGGCAGATGGCCTCACAGCAGGAGGAGCCATTAGTGTAATGGCTCCAGAGCCCTGAGGCCATGGGCCGCTCCTGGCCGGCGCAGTAGCACCGCCATTCTCTTTCTTCTCCTTTTCTGATCCTCCCCTGTTTCCTGCGGGTTTGCGTTCTAAGCGCCTATCTCGCCTATCCCGCTTGTACCCTTCCTCCGCGTCGGACGTCTCCGAACTTGATGAGGAAGATACTGCTTTCAATTTCACCTCTATTTTTTGCTTCAAACCGGTTCTCCTCTCCCGCTCTGTTTCTGAGAGACTATCCTGGGCAGACTGAAGGGCTTTGTCACTCTCTCTGACCGCTCCCCTACGGAGGGCATAAACCCTCTGCAAAAATTTCACCAGAGAGAACCGTGCGCCCATGTCTATAACCAGAGGCGGTGGTTCCTATACCTCCGATTTATGCTCCTAGTCACCCGAAAGTTCTCCCTCTCAGAGCTCCTTACCTGTCTTTTGGCCGCAGTTCTGACTTCCACCCGTTCGAAACGGGAGGCCCCCTCCAGGTCCCGGGTTCCCGGCACCAGTTGTCGCGCCCACGTGTCTTACCGCCCAGCAGTAAGAGGCAGACGCGAGTGAAGCCTTCTGCGGTAAAGTTTATTGCGCGCACAAAGATGAGGAAGAGGAAAGGGGGGGACCCCGGCAGTCTTTCTGCTCTTATGTGCTGACTGGCCCCGCCTCCGCCGATGATAGGTCGGCGTCATGATCACGCAGGGTCCTGGGCGACTGGATTCGTCAGTCCCCAGTGTTCACGTGCCGGCCACGCCGCAGCTCACTGCGCATGCGCTAGGCTACGTGACACGCACGAAGGTGTGGCTTCTCCGGCCGGCGCCATTTTAGGCACAGCATGTGGCCAGTGCATACAGATGCGGCTTGCAACAAGCATATATATGTATCTCATTTCATTTTTCAAAAAAAACTAATCAATTTCTGATATATATTATTAGTGATTTCCTGTTTAAGTGGGAGCATAAACAGGAACCATATATATGGCCTATTAGAAAAAAGCAATTTATTTTTACTAAAATAAATTTTGCTAGTTCAAACTCATGCCTTATATATCCATTTGCCTTGAGATATGTTCAGTCCTTAATATCTCATCTAGTTGTTAGATTTTTATTGAGTCTGAGGGAATAAAACACTAGTTGTTTCTCGCGCTCTCTTTTATTTTTTTTCTGTAACTTATTCCAGTAACAAATTGTAGTTTGTTTACTGAAGGGCAGATATTAACAATAAGCATGCTTTCTGAGCAGCATTAACAGCTTTTGTAGTCAAGATCTTTAGTTCTTATTTCTGTATCATATCTAATAAGTAGTGTAGAATGCTAGAAATTTCCTGCTCAATGCACAGTTATTATGGTTCATAATATATATAAATAATTATTTATAATATATTATTTATCTGTTATACATATAAATATTATATATCATATTTATAAATATATTATTTATGCATACATACACACATATAATATTGTATTATGTATATGTTATTTAATATATTGTCAAAGTAGCACTTTTCAAAAAAGTCTATCTTTTATCAAGGGCTAAGAATTGGAATGATGAGACAATACTAGCACAATAACAAATCCAATCAAAACAGTGATTTTTTTTTTTCATGTACATTTTTGTTTTTAATCTGGTTATTTTATTAAAAAGTGTTGCTAAAATATTCAATACAACTGACTCTATGCCACTGTGAAAGTGAGTTTTAAACTATTTTGATAATTATAACTCAAGCTCAACGTTTTAGCTATGGTGATTATAAATCTCTACATGGGAATTTTATTTCAGAATGTGCAACACTTAATAAGATCATGTTGGCTAATTAAATGGAGGGATCAAAATAGAACATGAAGCAAAAGCTTTGTATTCTTAAATTAATGCTTAAATATCCCCTGGGGAACTATCGCCATGTCTGGCCAGTGGTGAACCAAGCAGTCAGTCCCAGGCAGCCCAGCCCGACTGTGAGACCAGAAACATGGATGGCTGTCCAAATCCACATAACAATCCAGTAGATATTTTAGTGACATGCATATAGTTTCTGAACAAAAACACTCCTGGATTTCTCTTCAGTTGTTCATGCAGTCATATTTAATGATTAATGGCTATGTTTTCTCAGGTAGAAAGAGTAAAGTTTTTGATAATCTCAATCTCCATTTCACTGAGAGGCACCATCTACTTGACAAGTACTTTTTACAGCACTTGTTATCATTTTAAAAATCTATTCACTTTACTTATTTGAAAGACAGAAGGGGCCGCTCTGATACACTCCCCGAATGCATGTAATAGCAGGGCTGGGAAGCCAGGAGCCAATCACTCAGTCCACATTTCCAACAAAGGTGATGTGGAGCCCACTACTTGTTGCATCACCTGCTGCCTCCTGAGATGCGCACTCATTGTAAGGAAGGTGGATTTGGGAGTGAAGCCAAACGTGATCTTAGGCACGCCCGTGTGATAACTGGCAGATTACTGCCTTGCACTTGATATCTGAGTAAGAAAATACTGCGTCTGTTTCAATCTATGGATAAAGCCTTATATATTTATAGGAGTATGGTCAATAAGCAATCACTGTAAGTGCTATAGTGTTAAAGACTATAAAATAGCTTAAATTTTTCATTAAAAAAACAATGTGTAGCCAAGTATATTATTTTTAAAATAACTTACAAAAATATACATGTTCTCCTATGTTCTTATATTAACATTATGTTTTGGATTATCTGTTAAATACTTGAATATTCCAAATATCCACTATTGAGAATTGGCTTTTCATTTTTTATACCCATCTGTAATTTTCTAGGATCATTCTGCATCTTTGTTCAAAATACTCCTCACTAATTATCAAAATACTAATGTTCTACTTATTTATTGGATTAAAAAAATGCCCTCCATTTAAAACTCAGAGGAAGTAACTGTGTGCTGAGTTTCTCTCCAAGTCATCCATCAAAATCCATAAGAAAAAAAAAAAGAGGTGCAATGTTGAATCAGTTCAAGCAATAATTTCATTAGTAGATATAAACTGATTTCTTCCTGTTTTAGCATAGCACTATTCCTAAGATTGTCAGTGTATATAAATATATATTAAATCCATGCAGCACAGTGCTTTCTGTCCTGTAATTATAGCATGAAGAGATTGAAAACTCATTGTATATTAAAAAAAGGATAATTAAATTAATTGGCTCATTTGGGAATTTCCAAGATTTCTCTTTGAACTGTGCAGTGAGTAACAAATCCCCTAATTCATTCAGCTAAGTTTCATACAAATTGTATAAGAGAATTTGTGACTATGGACTATGAATTATAGATACAGTAGTGTGCATAGTTTTAAGATTTGGGTAAATGAAGGCAGAATGGGCAAAAAGTCTCATAGTACGAATCAGTCCTGGGTTACTTCACATTTGAAAAATAAGAAGAAAAATATCTAAAGAAAGGGTGCTGCAAACATGGTTCAGTTGGAGGAATAAAAATATTTTACTTACATTGTTCCTATTACCATAGAATTTTTGGCTTTTGGTTTGTATTTGTATATTTCCCATATAACTATATGTTTTGAATATTTCTTTCCTGATGTTAATATGTAATGAATGCACTGAACCGGTGTCCAGTATAAATTGTGTTTGTCTTTAATTAGGTGCACTACCTTATGGTTCTGTCTGCCAACTGGGCCTACGTGAAAGATGCCTGCCGGATGCAGAAGTACGAGGACATCAAGTCCAAGGAGGAGCAAGAACTTCACGACATCCATTCCACTCGCTCCAAAGAGCGGCTCAATGCATACACATAAACACATGGCTCTGGCCTTTGTACCATTTAATGCATTGGTGTTTAACTAAGGGCCATCCAACCATCTAATTTTGGGGAAAAAAAAAAAAAAAAGAGTGCTTCTCATCAATGATGTGTAGGGTGACCTATGAATCACCTGAATATAATTCTTTGTTGTCTAGCACTTAATTTCCTAATCTGTTAAATTGGTTTTATCCGATCTCTTCTACAAGCTCCTATCCAGCCTTTGTTTGTTTTGAAATTTCTGAAACTCATTTAACAGTTCTGTAAGATCAAAAACACTAGCACTGTCAATTGATTTTGTTTTTTTAACCAATTCCATGTGTTATACATAACACCTTTTTCATTATTTCCTATGCTTTGAAATGAAAATAGCTTTTTATACTTTTTAGTTTTGATTTCGGTAACTAGGTTAACTACAGGTAATCTTCAAAGGGACCATTGTATATTATGAATAGCAAAGATACCATCATAATAACTCTTGTTAAAATAAGGAAATCTTGTTTGGAGATAAGTGGCCATATTACTAAAGGCCCTGGCTAATGTTTTCATCAATTTAAGGTGCAATTTCTAAATTTATAAGAGTAGGTTTAAAAAAAGTGCTTCTTATCTTTGTTAACATTGTATTTTTTCTTGATGTACTTAAGAGGTATGTCTCTCTGATTACTCATATTTATGTTGTGAGCATGTAGAAAAGTAATGCTAATGCATGGCTAGTTGCCTTGATAAGATTGTGACACCAGGCTTAACTTTTAAAGATTAGTATAGAGACAATTTTAACGGAAACAATTACTGTGAACTACTGGAGAATGATCTTGTGATTTAAGCAGTGGCTGGATTGGAACTTTTAATATGCTAATGTGGAAAATAATTACCTTTATGAAGGTGGTATCTTAAAAATAAGCACACTAATCCCCTCAGAAACTGTTTTACCTACTTTAATGGATTGCACCTCTGTAAACTATTCCTAAAATGTGTATGATATATTTGAAAAGGCTTTCATTAATATAATAGCTTGCTTGCAGCCTTTCAATCTATGTTGGTTTACCTGTAGTGTTTTCTAAAGTGTGGTCAGAGGCCACTATAGAATGTATTGTTTGGAAGTGTAGTGAGACATTTGTGTTTTTATTTCAAGTAAGTCATTTTAACTGAATGTTCATTCATAGTCATTCATATAACGTACCTGTATCAAAGAAATTTTAAAAAACAATCAGTATTACTGGACCAAATTCGATGTTTGTTTCAGCCTTGACTCTTCTTTTGATTATTTCTAATGCTACAAGAATGCTGTAAAGTGTCTTTTAAAACGATATAGCCTGACGAGACATTTCTGTCAGTGTATAAATCTAGGTAGTATTGTGCACTGACTTAACCATTGTGAACTCCTTTCTCAGTGTAAGTGCATTTCTAATAAAACTTATTCAGTGAAACAATCTTTGTACAACTACTAATCATGCATCATCAGTACTTTTACAAGTTCTTGTAGTAGGTAGGGGGATATTAGAGTTATCTGTGGCATGATTATGCATTCTGTAGTATTAATTTGCAGGGTTTTTTTTACACTGAGATTATCTTACTGGTTCAACATTTTTTTTCTGATATATGCAGTATTACAGATATTCAGCAAAAGTATTAATGGGCTCTTTAAATTCTATATTATAGTGTTTCAGTTCTGTGTCTACAGTTTGTGATGATTTTTAAAGCTGTCTCCTAAATTTATGTAATGATGTTGACAATTTGATTTCTAGTATTAGAGTTTGTATTTTCACAGAGTGCTTTGTAGCAGGCATTGCAATTAATCTGTTTTGTACATATTTGTGCCAACAGCTTGATGGTGGCGTTTTTGAAATGTAGAACAAAGTGCTTGCAAAATGTAATAAATATACTTGTGTACTTTGTGTACTTATTATTAGTTTCTGCAGTGATTGTTGTGTTTTAAAATTTGTTTTGTTTATTTCTCTTTCTTACATGTGTGTATTCTTTTTGGGTGAGGTAGGCGTAATCTGTCAGGAGTACGGTTTCAGTCAGCTTGCCTAACACTTTAGGAGTCAATGGAAATAATGTTCAGAGATGATAATTGGGGAGTTTAACATGTGGGAAAGAGGGAGGGACTTTGGAGTGCATTTCATTTAGAACGCGGTAACTTTCCTCATGTCTCCTGTGTTGCAGTTGGATTCTGTTGTTTCACAGTATACATTTGTGCTTTGGTGCTTCACAAACTAATAGGAAAGACTAACAGTACTCAAAAAGAAAAGGGATTTCTTGATTTGCCTCAAAACACCCAGGTGAGAACACTATAATGAAAAAGTTGTTTTCTAGGTTTTTGGTTTGTTTGGGATATAATTTCTTCCAAGATGTGGTAGACATTTAAAAATAGTAAATACGACTGAGTGTGGTGATACAGCAGCATGAGCTGCATGGGGAGCCTCCATCCAGTAGTGAGATGCCAGTTCAAGGCCCTACTACGCTGCTTCTGATCTAGCTACCAGCTAATGCATCCTTGGAAGCAGTACGTAACTGAAGCCCTTGGTCTACCCGTGTAGGAGACCTCACTGCTCACTCCTACCCACCCTCTCTGTCACACTATTTTTTAAGTAGATAAAAGAAATAACAACACTTTTTGAAAGATTCATGTATTTGAAAAGTAACATTGAAGAGAGAAAGGAGAGACTTGGAGAGAAATCTTTACTGGTTCACTCTCCAGAATGCTGCAAAGGTCAGGACAGATCAGTGCCGAGTCCAGGAGCCAGGAGCTTCATCTGGGCTTCCCATCTAGGTGACAGTGGCCCAAATACTTAGGCCATCCCCTTCTGCCATTCTCAGACCATGAGCAGGGAGATGGATTGGAAGTGGAGCAGCCAGGACATGAACTGGTGCCCATATGGGATGCCAGCACTTCAGGAAGCGATTTGCCTGATTATGCCACAATGCTAACCTCCAAATATTGGGAAATAGTTGCTGATGAATTGCTAATTTCTGCCAATGTGTTTCCATTGTTAAGAAAATGAAAAATTCATCTATTGGACAGAGTAACTTAATCACCTTTCAAAAATTATTGTGAGACAATATGGAAACAATTACCTATCTAATTATTTTGAAATAACAGTCCTTTCAGGGATATTTTGAATTCTTAGCATAGCAACAGGACAACAAAAGTTGTATGTGAAACACATCAATGTAACCTAAAATTTCAAAATACAATAAGTAGCTCTGCATTTGTACTTGAGTTGTACTTGAGTTGTACTTGGGTTGCAAAACTCCCAGTGGGTGCCTGAAAATTTGGATAATCCCAGACTGTATATTTACTCTGTTTTCTTGTTCTCTAATAGTTTAATTTATAATAGACACAATAAGAGATTAGCAGCAGTAAGCACTAATAAAATAAAACAGTGATAGCAATTCATTATAATAAACAATTTGAATGCGATGTGATGTGTGTGTGTGTGTGTGTGTGTGTGTGTGTGTGTGTTTCTCAAATGCCACAGGAAACGCAGAATATGGAGTATGGATATGCTCGAAAACAGATGATTCATGTCCCTGTGAAACAGTGGGATGTTGCAATTTCGTATTTTCAGAAAAATACTTTAAATTTAGAAACTGTTTACTTCTTGAATTTTCTATTGATATTTTTCAGATGGTAGTTGACCAAGAAAAAATAAAATCGATGCGCACAGAACCACAGATAAAGGCTCAGGCTCTAATGGGTAAGATACATGTATGTTTTTAAAATACTGATTATTACAATTTTGAAAACTTTAAAGTCCATTTATCTTTATAAAATGCACTTTCTTTTTTACCTTTAAATTAAGTGATTCCATTTGGGAAATTATAAAGTTGGGAAGGAACAAGTATTTGGATCTCCACCACCCTCACGGTAGACACTGATAGAATCCTGGGCTCTAACTGGAGCCTGGGACAGCCCTGGCTACTGTGGGTATTTGGGAGTAAAGCAGTGAATGAAAGAAGCCCCTCTCCCTACCTTACATCCTCCTTTCAAATAAATTAATAAACATTTTAAAAGAAAAGATCAAGTAATTAACTCATTTTTATCATAAAAGAGAAACCTGTGGTCTAGCTCTCATTTGAGAGTCTTTCATTTACTTCTTCATGTTAAAACTGACAAGTAGCAGATGTGCTCAAAGAGTGAGCAAATCTGACTTATTTTTGCATGAGACAAAACAAAAGCATATAATTTTAATGTGTATTTGTCTGGGTGACTTGGTCGTTGAAATATGCTGATGCTGATGGCATCTGAATGGAGCTGTACTACTTTATAACACATTATTTAGGTCTGATGTAAAATGTTCAGATTTAGTGAAGGCAAGTCTCTTTAAAATGCCTCGAATTTCAATGGCAACACCCTTCTACTGCACTAAATAAACCCAGGACCTTGAGTTTCTTCTTACAAAAATAAATTTTACCTTTTAGGTTATTAGCTCCTTTCCACAAAATTTCATCAGGTTCAAAAATTGAAAAGAAATTAAAGTAAATGAACTGCAAATGAAATATCTTGATAATTCTATGTCTAACATGTGATATCTTTTATTTTTTTTTTATTTTTTTTTTTAATTTTTATAAAATTTTATTTTGACATTCTTTACATAGTTAATTAGGGTAAGAAGGTTCAAGGGCTACATGAAAGTGGATAATACTAGTATGTTTTCCATATTGTTACCTTCATGTTTAAAGGGGGTTATTTAAGGGAGAAGGCCCACCCATTTTCCCACCCTCCCCAGATCCCGGATGTAGGGCATGCGCTGAGGTTCTTGCTCAAGTGGGTTTGATATTGCAACAGTTATGAATCGTTGTCAATCTTGCCACTCCAAGCACTATGAGGGCTTTGAAAAATCCACTGATTGACATAGTCCATCATAGCGGAGATGGTTGGTTGACCCGTTCTGTCTTCTCTCTTTTCTTCGTTAGGGTTTTGAGTCCAGCATTTAGATTAGGAAGATCTCCAAAGAAACTTCTTGTATGTGCTAACAAGTACAGGGCCCGGCACCGTCCATCGCTCCAATCAGCTGGTGGTTGCAGTTGCTGGGTTGGTTCTGTTTTCACTCCCGACTTCCACTGGAACCAATGGGTGTTGCAGTCCAGCCTAGTTCTGCCCAGCACATACTTGGCCCTCACATAAACCAGCGGGAGCTGCAGCCTAGGTTGGAGCGACCCACAATAACCCCCACCAGGCCCACCCCCTACCCTGGTTTGCCAGTAAGTGTAGCAGTAATCCAGTCTGTCCCACACCCCATTCCACCCCAGCCGCTATCTTAGTTATCTTAGTTTTATGTCCTGTGGAAGTGGTAACCCAAGAGGGATGAGCCCACTATTTCCCTCCCAGGCCTCTCCCACTCCCAGATTCCAGTTGATGCTGCGTCTAAGCCCAAACAACCCTCGCCCACTTTAATTTTGTTTGCACCAGTAGGAATAATCCACCCAGCCCGGCTTTTCCCTGATCTGGTCCGCACGAAGCCCACAGGTGTGGTAGCTCTGCCTAGTCTGGTCTGCCCCCATCCCAGCCCATGCTCTCCTGCGGAAGTAGCTGTCCTGCAAAGGAACCCTCCCTTATTCCCCTGTCAGCTCTGCCCACTTCCTTTCTTGTTCTCAGGCTGGTAGGGCGCTGCGGTCCCTTCCGGTACAGGCCACCTCACCTCGGCATTCCATAATGTGCACTAGTCTTTGTTGCGACCAACCCTAGGTCGACCCACACTGGTGCCTGGATTTGCCAGTGGATGATGTGGACAGATTCAGCCTGGTCTTGCCCCCACGTCAGCCAATTGTATGCCAGTGGGTAGCTTTCCATGGCCTTTTCTGGGCTGTTTCCTATCATGTTTCTTGCGTTTACCTGCCGGGTCTGTGTCCTGCCAGAGGAGTTGCCCAGGCTCCTCCATCAGAACCTCTCCCAATGCCAGGTTTCACGCTTACCAGTGGGTCCATGAGCCAACCTTACTCAGTCCACCTCCTGTAATAACAGGAACTGTGGCTTTTCCTGACTGGCCTTCCACCCAATCTGGTTCTTGCTGTTGGATGTTCCAGCCCAGCCATGGTTTGTCTATACCCACATATGGCTCACACATGGCTCAGTAGGGGTTTGAGACCCTGCCTAGTCCATCCCACATCTGCCCTGGTCCTCCAGAACACCAGGGGGAGTCGGGGTCCGGCCCGGTTCGGTGCATCCAATCCCAGTCCACACTTGTGCCAAGGGAGACTACAACTGTTTCCAGATCAGAACGCAGCTCCCCTTCCAGGCCATGTGCCTCTTGGTGGGAACCTCAGCCCAGCTAGGGTTGTCCCCTTTGCTCCCCAACTGGGTCTGTTCCCAGCCATAGATCACTTGCCTGCCAATGGATGCTCTGACTCAGCTTGGCACAGTTCCTCACCTGTCCCGACCTCTGCCTTAGACACTGTGGCTTAGCGTCCCTGGCTCCAACAGACCAGCAGGTACAAGAACCTAGCTCGGCAAGACCTCTGCTCCCTCCTGGTTTCTAGTTTTACTTGTGGGCTAAGGTTTGTTCAGTCGTGCCTAATCTACTCTGTTCCATTATCAGTTGACACATTGGCCAACTGTTGGAGCTACTTTTGCAGGACAGGCCCCAAGCCCTAGCTTCTGCATGACTGCTATTTGGTGCTCAGAATTATTTGTGACTGAAAGTTTTGCTAAGGAAGAGTTACTGCCTGTTTCAGGTCCAAGAAGCACAATGGGTTCAACCTGGAGCGAATTAAGCAGCAACTCAAAGAACCAAATCCCCAGAGCTCCCGGGCCGGGCGGCCAGCAGGCGGAGCCTGGCACCAATGGCGCCCGGGGACAGCTCAGCACATGGCGGCTGTCCGGGATCCAGGCATGAGACGCCCCGTCCTGAGACCCACCAGCTGCCAGGAGGCTGCTGGAGGTTTAAATAACCCAGGCCC